GAGCAGAGAGGGGACCTCATAACCACAAAGAAGAAGAGATGGGAGCAGAGTGCATCTGTGATGGTTACGACTGTGTGTCAGCTTGGCTGGGCCATGATTCTCAGTGTTTATACGTGATCACTCCCATGATTGAATGTACTGTGAGTAGCCAGTCAGATGAAAGAGAGTTTCCTTGGGGGTGTGGCCTGCATCTGAATATAAGCAGACGTTCTGGCTTTTTGCTTGCTCTGGATCCTGCAGCTGCGGCCTATTAATCTGACCCCCGGTTCTTGGGACTTGAGCTGTCAGCTTATCTGCTGAACTTGGAATTCGTCAGTCATCACTGCCTGTGAGTGGAGCCCTGCTCTCTGACCTCCTGATCCTGAGTTCGCCAGCCCCTGCAGCTACGTGAATCAGGAGAAACCTTGCGGTCTTGCCTGCCAATCTTGGAATTTGTCGACCTTTACAGCCTGTGAGCGGGAGCCATGCCCTCCAACCTGCCGATCTTGGGCTCGCCAGCTTCTGCAGCCACATGAATTGGGAGAGGCCTCTACTCTGATCCACAGAGTTGGGACATTCTAGCCTCTACAATCGTGTGAGCTGTTTCCTTGATATAAATCTCTGTATATATACATTTATACGCTTTACTAGTATTGTTTCTCTAGAGAACCCAGCCTAAGACAGCATCCTTTGGATGTGATGTCCCTGTGCTGATACCTCCTAGACCCAGGAGACAGAAAGAAAGATCTGTAGCGCCAGAGATGGTGTGAGACAGCGAGAAGCAGCAGCAGAGAAATGGCAGCAACAGAACCAAGAAACTGGCATGAGACCGCACGGTCGGTGTGCCGACCCACAGAGTGAGAGAGCTCCCTGGCAGTGGGGCACCTCAGCACACGTGTTAGCAGAACCAGGCTGCCTTCTTTTTTTTTTTTTAAGTTTTTTTTTATTGTACTTTAGATGAAGGTTTACAGAACAAATAGTTTCTCGTTGAACAGTTAGTACACGTATTGTTTTGTGACATTGGTTAACAACCCCACAACATGTCAACACTCTCCCTTCTTGACCTTGAGTTCCCCGTTACCAGCTTTCCTGTCCCCTCCTGCCTTCTAGTCCTTATCCCTGGGCTGTTGTGCCCCATTAGTCTCATTTTGTTTTATGGGGCTTTCTAATCTTTGGCTGAAGGGTGAACCTCGGGAGTGACTTCATTACTGAGCTAAAAGGGTGTCCGGGGGCCATGCTCAGGGTTTCTCCAGTCTCTGTCAGACCAGTAAGTCTGGCCTTTTTTTGTGAGTTAGAATTTTGTTCTACATTTTTCTCCAGCTCTGTCCGGGACCATCGGTTGTGATCCCTGTCAGAGCAGTCAGTGGTGGTAGCCGGGCACCATCTGATTGTTCTGGACTCAGTCTGGTGGAGGCCATGGTAGTTGTGGTCTATTAGTCCTTCAGACTAATCTTTTCCTTGTATCTTGTTTTCTTCACTCTCCTTTGCTCTTGAAGGGGTGAGACCAGTGGAGTATCTTAGATGGCTAGGCTTCCTTCTAAGGAGCATTCTAGCTGTACTTCTTCCAGGACAGATTTGTTTGTTCTTCTGGCCGTTCATGGTATATTCAATATTCTTCACCAACACCATAATTCAAAGGCACCAATTCTTCTTCACTCTTTCTTATTCACTGTCCAGCTTTTGCATGCATATGAGGCAATCAAAAATATCATGGCTTGGGTCAGGCACACCTTAGTCCTCAAAGTGACATCTTTGCTTTTTAACACTTTTAAGGAGTCTTTTGCAGCAGATACACATATACCTATAAATATGCATAAGAGCATTTCTTTAAGTTTGAAAAGAAATGTGTATAAATGCTAACGGTGGGTGTCCGGGGGCTGGAGGAACAGGTGAGTGCTTTTTTCTTTCTCACACATTTTGCATTACAATTGTTCTCAGTGATTTATTTTTATAAGTAGCAAAAATAATTCTGGCACCTCCCTGCCTTTTACATGAAAACATGTGTCAACCAAGGCTATAAAGCCGGCTCCCGTCTTGGAGACCTACAATCAAACGGTCGCTAGTAATCCCTCCCCTTTTGTCACCGTCTTCAACAATATATTCCCAGCATTCCACACATATTCTCTGTGATTTTTTCCTTCACATATCATTCTGACTACCTTAAATCAACAAGCTAAAAGGCGTCCTTTCCAGCATACCTAGTGAACTCCTTCTTGGTCCCAATTTTACAGTAAAACCTTCAAAAGCTGGAACCTGTGTAAGGCAGAAACCTGCCAGAGAAGGAAAATATTTTCCACTAAATAGAGAGTGCTAGAGAAGTGGTAACTGCACTCTGCCAAAGGCGGAAAACTCGCGAGACCCGGAAAAACAAGGCCGTCCTGTCGAGTTCCGGCTCTCACAGTTTTCACTGTATTGCTTTAAGGAAACCTCCCCTTTTCTATCACGGCGCCAGTACTTTTGTTCTCCTGTCATTATTTTCGTAAAAGACTAAGGCCGGAAGACAATACAACAGTCGTTCTGAAACTTTTTTTAAAGCAACCAGCTCTTCTTTGGAGTGCAGACTTTCCTGCCAGTTGAGAGCCGGGTCGGACGGAGGCCCTGGATGCCCCTCTCCCGGCATGTTCCTGGCCTCACCCCAGCCCCCATCTCTCCCTCGGCCCTTGGCACCTTTCCAAGTCGGTGGCCACGGTGTGAAGACCATCATTCAATCATTGTCATCGTTTATTCAGATACAGACAGCGCCCTGGTGACTGGACGCATGAGGAGCTGGTGGCTGTGGGCTGAGGCACCTCGCTATGGCTCCAAGGGGCTCTTCTTCACCTGAGGTCCCCAAACCTGGGTTTGGCATGTAAACGGTGGGAAAGGGTGTCACCGCGAAATGCATGAAAGGTAGCTCACAAGTAGAATATGGCAAAGTGGAGAACTGTCCATGAGGTCGTTTTCTCTTCAAAAAACAGATGTATAAGAACCACCCATATTTCTTTTCAAACCACCCCCAAAATCCTACCTCCGTTAGTGGTCTTTCCCAGCTAATCTGTGCCGGGCACTGAGCTGTATAACTCATGTTTTCTGATTGAATCCTGTGAGGGGGTATCTGTTTTACAGATAAGGAAGCAGGGGCTCATGGAGGCTAAATAACTCAGCTAGTTAAGGGCGGAACTGGAACTCGATGCTTCCATAGGCTGCGGCAGTAACCACCCACAGCATGCTTGCCAGTAAATAAGTGGGTGATTTCCCTTCCCCACCCCCCACCAAAGGAGCCCTAGTGGTCCAACGGTTAAGCACTCAGTTGCTAACCAAAATGTTGGTGGTTCAAACCCACCTGACGACTCCACGGGAGAAAGACCTAGTGATCTGCTTCTGTAGATTACAGCCTAGAGAACCCTAGAGGGCAGTTCACGGGGTCGCTATGAGTTGAAAATGGACTCAATGGGACCCAACGACTACCCTACCAGATCATAGAACTGCAAACTCTGTGTACTCCACACCACTGACACAAGATAAATCTGTAAGTTCACGTATTTGTTAAATATCTGCCCCCTTACCCTTGTTTCCCTGTAGCCTTGAGGCTGTGGGGTTGCCCAGTTCCTGGTGGCAAGAATGGGGACTAGGGGATTATTCTGTACATTACTTGGTCCCAAAATAAGCTCAACCAAGAGCTGGACCAGGGATGATTCCAGCCCACTCTGATACAGATTTGCCCCAGAACTGGTCCAGAACACAATTAGTTTCCAGGAAAGACGGACAACAGGGAAGTGTTTGCTTCCCTGTAGACAGAGAAGGCAAAGTGTTGGGACACTTTCGTTTTTCTGTTTGGAGCAACTTCAAGCACGGGGCCAGAAAAATGCCAGCACGTGGACAGAACAATAGGAATTAAACTCAAGTCTAAAGCTGCATCAAGTTGCCTGCGTTGGCTGAGTCCGTCTCAAGGACAGTCGCAGCCCCCTCTGAGGAACCCAGGTATGCCAGCCAATTGCATTCCGCTCCCTCTCCAGGTCTCTACCTGCTCCCCAAGGGTCAGAGGGAAGCTCCTCTCCCTCTCGCCTCCTGCTCTCAGACCCTTCTCCACTGGCATCCACTCAGGTCTCTGGCCATAAAAAGACAACCACAAGCCCAAAGACTGAAAAAAAAAATTTTTTTAATAAATACAAAAATCTCCGATAATGACTCTGCTCAGCTCAGGGGCAGCAGGAGTGGAGTGGGGGGACCCTTGGTGCTGAGTGAGGATAAATTAAAAATCCCAACAAGCCAGTGACATTATGTACAGAGGGAAAGGGGTTGGGCTTCCAGGGCAGAACTGGGAGCGACGGGCCAGAGGGTGACAGAGCAGGAGTGGACATGGCCTTGGTCTGGCCCAAAGGGGCTGCCCCTCCCCCTTGTGGAGCGTGGTTCCCAGAGGTAGTGGGGGAGGGGCAGAGAAGAGGAGCCAGAGGCACTGGGTTTCCCGCGGGAGAGTGCAGGGTCCTCAGCGCTGCCCCTTCCCCAGCCCAGGCCCCATCCTCTTGGTCATGCTGCCTGCTGGCTCTCCCTATGAGCTTTCCACTTCCTTCTCCAGCTCCGGAACAGTCCTGGTCTCTGGGGCTGCTGGAGACAGAAGGGGGTGAAAGTGGGAGGAAGAGGGAAGGGATAGGTGGCATGCAGAAAGGCAGGAAGGCAGAGCAGAGCCTTTCTGTTCTGGTCCCAGAAAGGTCAGAACTGTGGAAGCAAGGCAGTGCATACTAGTCAGCTGTGTGATCTTAGTCAGTTGCTTAGTTGCTCTGAGCTTCAGAAATATCATTTGTTCAAAGTTTATTAAGAAAATGTTCTGCATCCCGCTTTGGTGAGTGGCATCTGGGGTCTTAAAAAGCTTGCAAGCGGCCATCTAAGATGCATCAATTGGTCCCATTCCACCTGGAGCAAAGGAGAACGAAGAAGGCCAAAGACACAAGGAAAGTATTAGCCCAAGAGACAGAAAGGGCCACATGAACCAGAGACTTCATCAGCCTGAGACCAGAAGAACTAGATGGTGCCCAGCTACCACCAATGGCGGCCCTGACAGAGAACACAACAGAGAGTCACAGATGGAGTGGGAGAAAAGCATGGAGCAGAACTCAAATTCACGTAAAAAGACCAGACTTAACGGTCTGACTGAGACTGGAGGAACCCCTGAAACTATGGCCCTCAGACACACTGCTAACCCAGAACTGAAACCATTCCTGAAGCCGACTCTTCAGACAAAGATTAGACAGGACTATAAAACAAAAAATAATACACGTGAGGAATGTGCTTCTTAGTTCAATCAGATACATGAGACCAAATGGGCAGGCAGCTTCTGTCCGGAGGCAGGATAAGAAGGCAGAAAGGGACAAGAACTGGTCGAATGGACACAGGGAACCCGGGGTGGAAAGGGGGAGCATGCTGTCACATTGTGGGGATTGCAACTAATGTCACAAAACAATATATGTATAAATTTTTGTATGAGAAATTAACTTGAGCTGTAAACTTCACCTAAAGCACAGTAAAAAAAAAACAGAAATATCATTTGTTAAACAAAGGTAATAAATAACAGCCCCACCAGGTGGCTGGGAGGGTGGAAGGGAACAGTGTTTTTTGAAGCAGGCAGCAAGGGCCCTGGCACACAGTAGGTGTTCTCTCCCTTCCCCAGGCCTCCCGGTCAGCCCTCACTCACGCCTCCGGGATGTGCAAGGCGAGCAGCATCGACTCTCCTTCTCCGAGCCGCAGGACAGTGGGGGTGAACAGTCGACCCGCTCACAGTGGGGCACCCCTGCCTGGAGCAGCACAGAGACTGACGGTCCCCCAGAGGCTCTAGGGCATGGCTGCCTTCAGCCTCTTTAGGGGAGCCTATCCCCAGGAACCTGCCCTCCCTGGGAAGTTCTCACTACTCCAGCCAAGCCCCCAAAGCCTACTTGACACAAGCCTCCTACTCCTGACTTACCCCACATCTGCAGGTTATACAGCTCATCTCCCCAAAGGGGGGCACCGATGGGTGCCAGCTGTGGCTCTCTGGGAACCACTGCCCTGCAAAACGGCAGCCCCGGGGCCCGTCGGCCTGCATGGGGTCCCCCAGCTGGGAGTGGGCTCCTAACACCACTGTTGGAAGGGAGGGAGGGAGAGAAGGAGGAAGGGGTCAACAGATGTGGATTCTGTGAGGACCGCCCATGTTTTTCTTGTCTTTGAATCTCCAGCACCTAGTGGTTTCTGGCACTC